CCGGGACCAGGGTCCGGGCCTGGGCCCGGGCCTGGGCCTGGGCCCGTGCCCGTGCCCCAGACGCCGGCACCCGGCGCGGCCCACGCCCTCACCCTCGCCCTGCCCGCCGCGCTGCTACCCCCGAACGCCAGCTCTGCAGCACCGCGTCCCGCCGCGCTGGGAGCCTTCTCGGACCTCTTGGTCCGCTGCGAGGTGTCCCGCGTCCTGCTGCTGCTGCTCCTGCAGCCACCGCCCGCCAAGCTGCTGCCGGAGCACGCGCACACCCTGGAGAAGTACTCCTGGGAGGCTTTTGACAGCCACGGGCAGGACAGCAGCGGCCAGCTTCCCGAGGAGCTCTTTCTGCTGCTCCAGTCCTTGGTCATGGCTACCCATGAAAAGGACACGGAGGCGGTCAAGTCCCTGCAGGTGGAGATGTGGCCGCTGTTGACTGCCGAGCAGAACCACCTCCTTCACCTCGTTCTGCAAGAAACCATCTGTCCCTCGGGACAGGGGATCTGATGCGTCACGTGAACCACACCACGTTTGCTTTGTTTGGGGCCTCTTACCAAACCTCACGCACCAGTCGTTGCATTGGGCGAGAAATGAGAAAAGACATCCATCCTGTTTCTACGTCTCATGTTATCCCTATTGCCACCATGGAAACAGTCCACTGAAAATTGCCTGTGTCCCAAATACTGATTGCCATGGTAGTGGGAGAATAAAACATTGTGATGCAGCTGGAGTAGAGGGCAGATGTGGTTCTGTTCCCCAAGAAACTGCAGCGTCAGCCACAACCCCTTTGTTCTCCTTCGTTGTGGGTCGTCATCTTCCACCTACGCCCCCTCCCACCCCCACCTTCATTTCCTAGCGAGGGCTTCATTTTTCACAGCGCTGAGAAAATGCGTAAGCGCTATGATTTCATCGGGACTCTCGTTTCCTAGCGGGCGTCTGCGTCCCCTGTGCTGTCTCTCGGGTTTGAGCCGTGACATAACGTATTCGTGCCACGGACCATTTTATTCCTCTAAAATGCACGATAGAGCTATTCTAGTACTCCTAACTGGCGGCTTAGGGTAACCTGCTCCAGGAAATGTGACTATCCTTTCTACTTGTCAGGAGGCAAAACCGCAGAACCAGATGGTTCTCTTTCAGCTCCTGGGTGTATTCATGGCCATGTGAAATGCATGGTGTACCTCAGTACGTTGCGGACTACCCCTGGGCCGTGAATCTGTAGATACCATTTGTGGTGGGTCCTCACCCGGATGACTGCAGGGTGAGTGTGTCCAGTGCAGCAGTTCCAGTGTATCTGTTTACATTAGAATTTGCAGTTCCGGTTCTACTCCCAGAGGTATCTTAATCTACAACTTTTATTTGTTTGTAATAGGGATCTCGCTGCAACTTCTATTTCACCCAAATCCCTAAGATCGGGGCATGACTCTTTGGTATTATTGTGTGTCCTTGTTCCCCAAAAGCAAGATGGTGGTTCAGTTTAAAACAGTTTCCAAGGCTTTTTTGATCCAAATGCTACGTGCAAACCAACTTAGTTGTCTCCTTCCTTTCTTCCTGGTTCTGTCCCCACCCCGTTCCTAACAGAAAGACAGCTACTCTCAACCACCTTCCCGGCCAGCCGTGATCAAAAGTGCGCTCATAAACCTAGGGTGCACAAATCAACGGTCAACTCTGGGACAGAACCCCAGTCTTCCGCATGGCCCCAGCGTCGCCGAGCAGAGGGCCACCACTGTGCCACTGTGGCTGCGACAGCTTAGCTGTTTTCTTATTTATTTTGCACTTTTTGAGAGTGATAATACAAACCCTTCTAAGTACCACCTCTTTCTCAAACATTCAACCTTGGGAAAATGCATCCTTTAGGTTGAAGTTGTACACAGTCCTCATCTTTTGCGGTGAGATATTCTTTTTGTTTGGTGGGGGTGGGGAGAGGGGGACAGAGAGGTGTGGAGAGTTGATGCTAGGCATTAAGTGCCTCAGAATGGGTGGGACTTCTAGGACATTCTTGTCTGCTTCTGCAGCTATTTCAACAGTGTGAAAGTAAGGGGAAATACAGGAGAGGCCCATTTGAGACAGATGTAGACACCATTGCTCTGCTTTCTTGGCTATCAGGAAGGGTCTTTCAGAGCTCTAAAAGCCTAGTGCGGTTTATTGCAAAAGAGGTAAGGGTGCATGCTTCTTGGCTCTTTGGCTTTTTTCTGACGCCCTCCTCTTAACCAGCTGCAGGCCTGGCCGGCTGCCTTATGTTAGGAGCTCTGGAACATGATGGGCGTGAGAAGCAAAATGGAATCGTTTGTGTGTTGACACCTGAATAAACCCAGCTGAGGAAGGAAGCCTGTGGAGGTGGCAGTTCTCGTGCAAGTATGCAAAGCCCGCTGCAGCCTTACACAGAAAGTTTCTCTGCCCAGAAACTGCCTGTCCAACCCAGGACCGCTGCTGCCCCTGCCGTCGATCCTCGATCCTGGCAGCATAGATGATCATCCCCAAACAACCTGTGGAATCCTTTCTTACTTTTTTTTTTAGAAACCCTGTTCTGGGCCAGGCAGGTGGTGTGGTGGTTAAGGCAGCTGGGGCCCATCTAGCCGACTGCCCGATTGCAGTCCTGGACCTGGCAGCCAGAAAAACGGGCCGTGTGTGTGTGTGTGTGTGTGACTAAAATCCCAAGAGGAGAATGAAGGATAAGGGATTGCAGTGTGGTCATCCCCTCAGGACAGGATCTCTCCCTCTCCCTCTTTCTTTATAACAACATGGTGTTCAACACTGGGTCTCATGCACGACAGTAGTCCCACAGGGAGCATATAGGCTATCCCATATAGCGCAGGTGTGTGGTAGGTATATCATATTTGAAGAATTAAAGTGAAATTTCATAAAGTATATGTATTATTTATAAGTATAAAATCAAATTATATAAACAGATGACAATAATGTGTTTATAAACATAAATAACGTATTTATATATAAAATATAGCTACTCTATTTCAATAATTTACCAAATATTAGAAATAGTACCAGACGCGGTCCATGATACTATGTTACTACGTTTTTGTTGTTTTCTGTTTTCATATTATCAAACAATAAAACCAACCCCTTCAGGAGTTCATTTCTATTAACACATGTATAGATGTGTTATAGTCATCAGCACAATCAAGATACATAACAGCTCCATTAGCCCGGAAGACTCCCTCATGCTCCTGCTCCTTTGTAGTCAAACCCTTTGTCTCAGACCCTGACATCTGGGTTATTCCTCTGTTCCTCCTTTCCTGCCTTCTTTCATGCTAATAGAACAGGGTTTTTTTTTTTTTTTTTTTTTTTTTTTTTATTTTCTTTTTTTTTTTTTTTTTTTTTTTTTATAATTCTCTTATTGACCTTTTAGCTGTATTTCTTTGTATTCTTACCAGTTGCTGTGGTGATTGTAAATATTCATACCAAAATTCCTAGTTTTCCACAATCTACTTAGAGTGAATATTTTACCACTTCATGAAAACTGTAAGAACCTTCCCAATGGATAATTACATTTACTGCTCCTTTTTCTTTTTGCGACAGTTGTCACATTAACTATATCTATATATGTTATTAAGCCCACAATAAAATGGTAACATTTTTACTTTAAATAGTCATGTGCATGAATGTTAAACTCCAAACCCTTAGAACCTCTATGCAGACCAATATCCCTCTGGATTACCAGGGCATCAGCTCAGGGATATGTAGTAACAACCATGAGTCCAAATTTATTTTTCACTCAATCTTAACTATATCGGAAATACTTTGTTAGGTTTTATTCAGCATTTCTATGTGTTTTAGTGGTATAGGGAGATTCACATCAAATTAGTCTGCTGTGTTGCCAGAACCAGAAGTCCTATCAGTATTTTAAAGATGTTGGAGCCGAGTCTTAGTTTGAAGCTCAAGCTCAAAATACTCTACGCTTCCCTTCTCCAACAACCTTTTCAAAATAGATTTCCACAAGTTCAAATGCCGGGAACGTAACCTCCAGTCTCCTATTCTAACCCTTGCTCTAAATATCATTGCTTTTTCCATGTACGACAATCTATAGAATTAAAACATCTTAATAAAAATCTTTTAATGCATTTTAAAACATTGACAGTGTCTCCCCAAGCTTACCTAAGATTCAAGATCCAAACGTAGAGGTAAAAGATCTATAAAAGGGTAAAGAATTTGCTTCCTCTTATAGCAGCTTTCTCAAGGCTTTTAGACCACCAGGTATATCTGGAGACCTGGACTGTCAGTCTCTGCTGGCTATTCACCGAGTAAGGTAGATGGGCGCAGGTTACATCTTCCTATCCTTCACTTTCTCTGTCTTCTCTGACTCTTTGCTCCCCGTCTTGACAGGTCATATTTATCTAATGTTACAGATTGTTTTCACTCACAGTTTTTCCTCATCCCTTAATTTATGCCTAACATTTTTAGTTAATACTCTTCACTATCGTCATCTTAGTCATTTCACAATGAGGAGCTAATAATCTACACACATACAAACAACTTCCTGGTTTCTACCTTATAGAAAAGATTTGCATACACAGCAATCCAAATGCAAGTAATATTTATTAGTATGGGATCCTTGACCTGGAGGTGGATTCTTGGATACTCTTTGCATATATGTTAACCTCTACAGATGATGGTTTGGCTTCAGCAGCAGCAATGCCACAAAATTAGGCTACAGGCAAGAATTTTCAGATTACATTTCAAGTTTAGTTCATGGTACAGTACATTAAGTGGATGGGATTAGGGCAGGCAAAGCAGCACACCATTTCTTTTTCTTTTTCTTTTCTTTCTCTCTCTCTCTCTCTCTGTGTGTGTGTGTGTGTGTGTGTGTGTGTGTGATTATGTCAATTTTTCACTGACCTCATTTCCCCGGTAGAAGCCATGACCAACCGTGAACTAGTTTAGTGCATAATACCTACTTAGGCTCTGTTGGCCCTTCAGATGATTAGTTAAAATGATTCGTTTAGCACAGCAGTGAGAAATAGTCTTTGCGATTTTTCTTTCTTCTTTTTCCCCCCTCTGGCTCTCTCTCCCCCCTCTCTCTCCATTTTGCCACCACTTAACATGTGACACCCCACACACCCAGAGACAAAGAATGGACTCTTTGTTTACAGACAATAAGAGCCTTTAAAGAGTCTGAAACTAATGATTCTGAATCTCAGTGACATTGTGAGTTGTATGCAGTCAAGTGCGGAAGCACTGTTTTTACTACACCAGCAGGTGGTATGGTAGTTAGAGCACTGGAAACTCCTGCATGGCCAATCACGGTTTGAGTCCCAGACCTGCTGGTTTGCTTTCTCCCTTTCCCTCTCTCTCTCTCTCTCTATCTGTGTGTCTCTCTCTGGTCAAATTTAAATAAATGAATGAATAAATTAAAGAGTGACAGACAAAAACTAAAGGGGGTGGATTCAGAGAATAAAAACAAGAGGGAGACCAAGAGACTTGATAGCATCACTGTAGTCCCTTATTCTGGTCCATTCTGTTTCTAATAACAGAATGTACCTGATACTGGGTGATTTAGAAGAATAGAGGCTTATTCAACTCATGTGTTGGTGGTCCAAGGTCCAGAGATCACATCTGGTGAGAGTCTTCCAACTGCATTACAACATGATGGAGGGCAGGAGTGCAAAGGAAGACGGCAAGAGGGAAGGACAGGAACAAAAAAACCCTGCAAAATGTATAGGAAAAAATTAGCAAAATGGCAATAATATGTCTTCACCTAACACTAATTATTTTAAA